TGGTGGGATTAACGTGTTTGCGGGCGACCAAATCTCCCCTAACCTGGGACAATGGTGTAACAGCACAGTATAAGAACAAACTATACAAACCAGTTGAAAAAGGCTTGACTAATCAGATCGACAAATAGTCCAAAAAATACACTACTCCTCCACACGTATACCAAGCTGTACAACATCTATTACAACCACAATTTTCTATAACAACCATGATGCTGAATCATAATATTGAGGACTTCAAGTCTAAACCACCTGGTTGCACCTATGCAAGTTCCTAATTCATATATAATCCAGCTGACAACGTTATAAGTAGCGACCTTAACATTGTCAATAGCACTTCTCTACAACATTTCTTAGCCAAAGGGCCGTCATATCTCGATCCATAACTCGTAAACTGTAAACATAACTTTAATACTAATGGATTCCGTTGAGTATTTTGCAAGGTAGGCAATGGGCAAAACTTGAAAGATGATCATGAAGACGTTGATACTCTCACCGAAAAGGTTAAGGCTGTGAGGTCATTGATACAAATCAGGTCAAAACAATCAAATTGGCCTACTCGTGCTCCATATATGGTCAAAGACCCAAGTATTGCTAAGTTTTTGATCTACATGGAACTCCGTGACAAATATCGTGGCGTCACTGCAGACAAAACCCCAAACATTACCCGTTTCTCTTTGTTTCATCTGTTTGAGATTGATTGAGGAATTGAATATATCCCCATTACACTTCATCAAGAGGAAATCCTTAACAAATATTGATCGGTTAACGTTTTATGTTCTTTTGGAATTTCAACTTAGGATGGTGTCCTTAAATCCACAGTTTACGGTCTCATTTTGTCGATACTTATGTTTTGTTTTTCTTACTTTTTTATAAGTCTAGTGGTTTTGAATGTTTACGGCGAGCACGTATTTAGCAATACATTAAATGAACAGCAAAACTTTTCTTTAATGAATAAGTTATCAATTATAATAGGTCAACATAACAACTTCAACAATGAGACAAACCCATGCCGTATAGGAAGATATAAAGACACCGTGAATATACAAAATGATAAACATTAGAAGAAAAAAAAAATACAACGGCCTAATTTATGCACAACAATAAACAGGAAATTATGGCAGACAGCAACCAACGACAGCCGCTGGATGACAGTCATCTGACTTTGTTTGGACAACACATACAAAATGGGTTACGATTAAAAGATTTATGGGCGTTCAATCCTGTCCCACACATGGGATAGTCGTGTTCCAATAATATAAAAGAAGAACAAAATGTAAAAATCAATTGTAAATGTCTTGACTCATCAAATTGGTTGTTAAGTCAAAACAAACAACAAATACTATGTAAAAGACAAAAGACAGAAAGAAACAATGTAAGAGTACTCGAAGTTGTCGAAAGCCAGGCCATAGCCAGTTTTCAACTAATAAATAGGTCTTGTTTTCCAGTCTAAAATATCAATATTTAATTTTTTTTGCTTTCTTAGCAATTATTTATATAAAAATAAGAAAGTGTGGTATTATTGCCAATGCGACAACTTTCTTCCAGTGACGAAATGAGGCAGAAGATAGCAAGTATAGGTCACCGCACAGTTTCAACAGTGATTAAATTCATACCGCCACAGGCACTTGTCTATGAAAAAAATGTCCTATATTATACTTTGATATAACACAAGGTACTTAACTCGCATTTTTGAAAAATTTCACCCGGTCGCGAACTTCCGTTATATTGGTTGTGGGTATACGAAATAATTACGGTTGACATACTTGAGGAGGCCTGCTACGAATGATTCTGACAACAAAGGTAGGCGTATTTTACACCATTGTGTAGATAAATCAATTCAGATTTACGGTATAACAAGTTTAGTGGGATAGCTATATAGACAACCGATAAATCGAAATATAAGGGAAGTTCGCGATTTTTAAATATTGACCGTCAATAAATATTTGAATAGAAACATAGCGTCCTTATACTTAAATATATTACCATTTGAATCACGTAATAACCATGATAACCAATGAATAAGAAGAATACTACACCATGTGTAATATTCTAGTTTATTGAATTATAAAGCCAAAAAAATAACTGTCCCTCTCTCAAAATAGCTCAACATTAATATGATCAGTATCTAAGAGTTTGTTTTTTGTTAAAAAGGTCACCGTTTTTACAAAACTACAAAAGGCTGACTGCTCTTCAACATTTCAAATACTTTCAAAAATGAAAACGAACATGATTTTTTTCCTGATATGAATATGAATGACTAAATTACTATTCTGAAAAATGTTGTTCCATATTAATATTGCAAAAGTCTCTCAAAATTATTTTATTGTAGCTTTTTTTTATCGTGAAAAGGTTTGTGAAAGATCTGGTGTCACTTATTTGTCATTGCAAAAATCATTCAAAGTTATTGAGTATTAAAATTGTTTTGTAGATATGAGAAAATTGTTATGTAATTGCTACAGCACAAGACTGACTCTCCATGACTTCTTCCGGTTCACTTTTGTTGGAGAATAAAACTGTAAGGCTATGATGGTTCAACCCCGTTTGGGCTGGTTTTGTAACGCAAACACTCCGACTAGTCCGTGGTTTCCTATAGTACATGTAATTACTGTCTATCTGTTCGTCCGTCAACATTTTTTGTGGTATTATAAGTAAAGATTGACTAATCTGATATTAATATTTTTCATGAACAATATCTTTATCTACATAAGAAAGACCCTTGTCGTTTTGTTTTATTAAAAACAAAGGGAACTTCTTTGAATTGTTTTGTTGTTGTTGTTGTAAACAGCATGTGAAAATTAGGATGTGGTAAAATCTTGATTTTTTATTTTAAAAAATTAAAAAATTATGTTTTTCATCATAAGTTTTTATTTATAGGATTTCCAAAACAACTTATATCAAGGTATAATATAGATAGATTCCAAATGTCAAATTTTCTTTAAATAACATGACTTAAACGAATTAAATAATGCGTATTACGCTATTCTAAATGATTATCGGTGTCCTTTTTGCGGTAAATAGTGAGCTTTTATTTTTTTCAAATCACAAAATTTGAGAATCATATTTGTATGTTATGATTTTTAACAAAAATTGAAACACATGTATTGTTTGCTTTCAGGAACATTATTTCAAAAGGATTGTGAAATATTCTGAGTATATAGATCTTGTCATTTCGGTCACTTTTGCAGTTTAGCAAAAAATGCAAATGCCGGCCTAAATAAAAGTTGGTATAAGGAGTGAAGCGAAGTAAAAACGTTTTATACAAATTCGCGTCAAACACTCACACAATAGATGCATTATTCAATAAGATACGCAGAAATCTATATAATTATATATGTTATTCAGACGGAATCAACATGTGAATAAAAACGTATGCCATTTGCATGGAGGAATATAAATATAAATAAGAGATAAATAAACTTCACCACTTTTTTCCATTGATAACTAATGAAATTTTCAATAAATTATGGTTCAAATCCCTTTGGCAATATTGACCTCAAACGATTTTGACTATTCTTTTTATGTTACCTTTTTAGTTGGCTTATAATTTTTCTGTGTATTTATACATCCTTGATTTAAAATAATTGGTTTTCAGCTTTTCTGGTTAAAGTAATTCCGATTCGAAACACACGAACTCATAAACGGTTAAACTTATTATTAGTATTGTGGAACTCAATGTGAACCCTCACTTTTCATAAGGGGACAACCATTTGATTCTGAGGGGAGCTGCCAGATCTTGGAAATAATATGTCTGGTCCCAGTTAGGTGAAAATAAATAGTCTTGACTTATCACACATGCAAATAAATGTTCTGGCCCCAAATATTCAAAATGTTCAAAATATTTTTGGCTCGCTTCGCTTGCTACATTTACAAAAGTATCCACTAGTTACAGATAATCTCGAAAAAGTTCGCAGGACACACAGAATTTGTAAAGTGTTATCATTGTTACAGAATTATTGTCAGTGGTTACTTCGAGAGTCGTCCTCCTTGCTTTTGACCTGAAAAAATTATTTTGTTTATGAAATCTTACCAGAAAAAAATTGACAAGCTACGCATGTACGCTCGCCAGAAATTTATCATTTTGGATAATAATACCCCTCTTTCCTTGAACCCTGATTCCACCCTTAATTGTAATGCTATTATATTTTCAATAGTAATCTTACCAGAAAAAATTTGACTGGCTACGCATGTACGCTCGCCAGAAATTTTATCATTTTGGATAATAATACCCCTCTTTCCTTGGACGCTGAATCCACCTTTAAATGTAATTCTATTACATTTTCATATCAATTGAATATATATTCTTTACTTCATTTTGACCGCTCTATTTGCTTGTTGTATGTACCAGTGTGAAGCTAGCCGGCGTTAAAATTCACGAGGCTAGCAATATCAAATATAAACAAAAAACTTTATTTTATCATAATAATCGATAGTTTAACACTTCATCGAACGCAAGTCATCTCATGAATATTATTGATGGCTCATGAATATTATTGAAGGCTCGCCTCATGAATATTACCGCCGGCTGTTATCGACGGCTAGCTTCACACTAGTGTTGTATGTGTATAATATTAGAAAAGTGATCTGTATCACAAAAATTGTATTATTTAATTATTTTAGGGGATGAAAAGTTGATTCTAATGGGGGTGGGTTGGGGGGGGGGGGGTGGAGGGGGTATGGGGGGGGGGCGGTCGTTTGAATCAATTTGTGTATGAGCAATAAACAAATATTCTGGCCCTGTTCTGAGTGAAAATAAATAATCTGGCAGGCTTTATATGTCGGAAATAAATATTCTATTCTGACCTCATCAAGTTTGCCAGGCCCTCAACTAAGAATTAAAAGGTCGTCCCCTAAGTACTTTCCAACCGATTTGTCTCCTGTCACCACAAACGGTTCTCTTGATAAATTAACGTATTAAGTTCAGAAAAATATCGTTATTTCATTCAGTTTGTAATAGATTGTTGTTACAATTGGTAAATATAGTCAAGTATGCAGATACTTACGCTGTGCTGTTACTGTCACAAAAAAGGTCTGTATGATTATCAAAAATACACAAGGTTGCAGATTTTGGATCATCTGAAACAAAGATTTTTAAATCATTTATTTTAAAATTATCAGATTTTCTTTTTATTAAATGATGTATATGAATATAATATACCATACTCAAGCTGACAGCCACTTTTAGCAGACAATCAAGATAGCAGCCACTTTTTCCAGCAGCCAATTTTTATTATACATGTAATTATGTCTAAAAACAAAACAAAAATCTGTATATGACTCAAACGTTCCAAAAATCTCAAAATGTTAGCTAAATATGATAGCACCTCCTTTGTTAGTGGAATTCGACATTTTCACGTCTTGTCGTGATTCTGATAAGATAGTATATATTTATACGTTTTTTATACCAATGATTCCATTCTTTTTCTTATTTTTTATTGTTTAAGATTAGGAGGAACAGAATCAATGTAAAAAATGATGAAATGATCTAAGTACAACTACCATAATTGTCCTATCTAATAATCTCCTATACATTTCTAGGAATATCATTGGTTCAAAAACGACCGCGTGTAGACCGTGTATATTTAATATGGGGTTCTTATGCGTGGGTTATTTTGATACACGGTAAGTAGTGATGTTACGTCCCTTTATAAAACAACACTCCCACTAAGATATAATAGCCAAGGTTTGACACTAAACAAATATTTACAAGGATATTTACAAAGTGTAAATTTAAGCACCCTTTCACATTATGTAAATATCCTTGTAAATATTTGTTTATTAAGTGTAAAACCTATATCCAAAGTGGGAGTGCTCCGATATATAACGGAGGATCATACCTGTACAGAACACGCCGTATGAAGAAATTGATGATGAACGATTGAAATAAATGCAGAAAACACACTAAAAGCTAACAAGTTGTTATTGTTGGCATTTGTTTTTGTATAGACCAATGGAAGTATGTTTTTAATATTGAAGACTTGATCACTATCATAGGCCACTAGTCTAAATGCCACATGTTTAAGTTAAGATAAGTGAAGTAAATTCGTTACACCGTGTGCTAGTGACCTAGTACGATATATATGGGGTCAGTATCTTCCATATGACCCCATATGTATCGTAATAGGTCACTAGGCTAAGCACACTGTGTAACTAATATTACTTCACACAGATTCACACAGCATGTATAACTGTGGAACTAATATTACTTGATTTGAATAAGTTACAATGAATTATGTTATTCTGAATTGTTGTAAATGATATATTTTCATTGAAAAAAAAACAGATTCAGTGCGTGTTTGTCGGAAAAACTACATACAGGCTTTTCATACCCTTGGTATCCTCAAATATCCCATATTTAAGTAAAATCTTCTTCGTATACATGAAATGAAAATATTTGGATCTACATGTTGTGTGAATCTGTTTTTCAATGTGGACTATATTTTGTCTAAATTGATACGGCATGCAACATTGTCAATTTATCAATATCAATTACAATTTCGGAACTATTCGGCTTGTCCCTACGGCAAAATTATGAACCAAAGCTGATATGCATAAAACCACTTAAGTTAAGATATATCCAATCGTAGTACTAATTTATAGTAGGACATGCAGAAAAATTCGTCCGTTCGGAACAAATTATTACTTAAGTAGTTTTATGCATATCAGCCCTGGCCTAACTCATTTCAAGTTAAGATAAAAAAAAAATGGTAATGTTGCATGATTTATAAATTTAGACAAAATAGTCCACGTAAGATTTTCATTGGAAGGACTACTTGTTCACATTAAAAAATAGAATTACCCAACAAGTATTTTCAAATGATTTCATTTCACGTATAGAGAAGTGGATATGATATTAAAAATGGTTTTAACCGAAATACGAGATATTTCAGGATGCCGAGTGTAAGGAAAGTCTTATGTAGTTTCCATGTCGTACTTTGCACTTCTCATATTCAGTTGAATGAAAATATATATAAAACGCTGTTCATAACAATTACTTAAATAATCATAGTAGTTGACCTAGATTATTTAATTTTCTATCCTTACATTGTTTCTGTACCTCCAATCTTAAGGATTAAAGAATCGAGAGAAAAAAGGAAAACGGATTTAAAAATGCACATAGCTTGCTGTTCGATGTGAGCCAATTGCAAGGCTCCGTGTTGAAGGTCGTACTTTGACCTATAAGGGAACGACCATTTAACTTCAAGGGGGGGTGGGGGTCCTAAAAAATATATTCTGATGCCCGATTTGATGAAAAAAAAATATTGCGGTCAAGCAGATGACAAAAAAAAATATTCTGAATCCAGATTTCCCCCATACCTTATAGTGTTAAATTTTGAAAAAAATAATTTGATTGATAGCGTGGAAAAACCAAATAAAAACATTCTGACTCGGACAAAAAACCATAACCCCCCCCCCCCCCCCCCTTGAATTTAAATGGTTGCTCCCTAATTGTTTACCTTTACACATTGTGACTTGGATGGAGAGTTGTCTCATTGGCACTCATACCACATCTTCTTATTTCTATATACAATATTGTTTGTATTTAACAGGCAGTGGCCTCCGAAAAAGTGGATACTGGCATCATTGGTATATAACATCGATTGTCATTTTATGACAATCATGACAAGGCGTGAAAATGTCGATTTCCTCTGTCAAAGGATGACTGTGCTACCATTTCAAGCTGAGATTTTTAGATTTTCGGAACGTTTGAGTCTTGTACTGTTTTTTTGGTTCTAAACATATCATATATTTGGCTGCTAGAAAAAAAAAGTGGCTGCTAGTTTGATTGACTGCTAAAAGTGGCTGCTATTTTGATTGGCTGTTAAAAGTAGCTACTAGCTTAAGTCTTTAACCAAAGCAATTAGATAAACTTACAGCTTCACAGCTTATGTTGCATTCTATAATTAAATAGATATTTAATGAATTTGAAACAATTTCTGAAAGACATCTTTGCAAACCATTGGAAATATTCATATAACTTATCAATTCGAAACTTGACTTACATCTAGAAAGTTACAATGAGGGTTGGTTGAGTTAAACTTTAAGATACAAAAGATGACATTAGCTTCCCAATAGTGAACTTTCTACTTCTATGTAGCATCATTCCAGTAGCGCTAGCAACATGGAGTTGATACGATATAACTGAGCTTTCACTACCTATCATAATTTCCTTCATAGAGGATTATTGCATACAGGGAAGCTATTAAACAAAAAATTACAAGCGTTGAAAAATTTTACAACCGTCACCACGAGTTGGTTGACCGTTATGAAGTAACTGTTTCAAAGACAAATATGTTTCAAATGTCTTTACCGCAATCCTCTTTTCCTCGAATGTGACCTTCCGAATTAGACTAATCACCGGGTCTGTACTTACATGAAGGGTGTCACATGTTCAACAGGATCTGCTTACCCGTACCCATAAGATGATACTCGGGATGGGGTTCGTATTACTTTGTATTTAGTTGTCTATGATGTGCGTTGTATACGTTTTTTTTCCGGACATACACATACATGTTGTTTGCTAGCTGGTAAAAAATCTGTTATGGGACACCAAAGTATACCGTTCTCTTTTAAAACTTCATGAAAGCGATGAAATCAACGGATAATCTCTCTCTCTCTATCTCTCTCTCTCTCTCTCTCTCCTATTACTTTTATTTGAATTTCTAAGAGTCATAATAACATAATTATAAGATGTTTTAAACACATTTGTTAATACATTATCCACATAATCAATTTTGTAATCAGTGGTACACAATGCTGATGAAGATTTTTTATAGAATTGTGCATTTTAAGGATGTTCGCTCCTCTGTTTGTAAATAACAAGATTAACAAGAAATGATTGTAACAGGATGCTGTTACGAAGTCTCCCAAACGAAGCTCCCATAATTCGTCATTCCCATGGTCGCCTGACATTGGGCAAAGTCCAGTACAAATTGGTTTGGTCCGGTAAAGTGATATGCTTACGCCAAGGGACTGACCCTGTATGTCATTCAAATTTTGTGAAATGACGAACAGGAATATATATAGTTTAGGGGTGGGGATCTCGACCATTTACAAGATATTAGAACATTTGGGGTGGGGGAACCCCTTGAGACTGACCCTATATGTCATTCAAATCTTTTTGACATGACGATCAGGAATATGTATGGTTTAGTGGTGGGGATCTTGACAATTTACAAGACATTAGAACATTATGGGTGGGGGGAACCCCTGGGGACTGACCCTATATATTAATAAAATCTTTGGAACATGACGAACAGGAATATATATGGTTTAGGGGTGGGGATCTTGACCAATTACAAGATATTATAACAAATGGGGGTGGGGGAACCCCTCTGGACCTCTCCTATATATCATTCAAATCTTCATGACATGACAAACAGGAATATAAATGATTTAGGGGTGGGGATCTCGACCATTAACAAGATATTTGAACACATTCAAATAACAGGGGGTGGGGATGACCCTTTGGGTCTTACCATGTATATCATTTAAATCATCTTGGCATGACAAACCAGCATATATATGGTTTAGGGGTGGGGATCCTGACCACTTACAAAATATTAGAACTTTCTCAAATGGCAGGGGGTCGGGATGACCCCTGGGGACTAACCCTGTTTATCATTCAAATCATCTTGGCATGACAAACCAGAATATGTATGGTTTAACGGTGGGGATCTTGACCAATTACAAGCTATTAGAACTTTCTCAAATGGAAGGGGGTGGGGTTACCCCTTTGGACTAAACTTTTATTCATTTAATGTGCTTTTTCATTCAGAACATTTTCAATTATAAAGATTGTGTCTATCACTAACTGTTTTCAAGTTAAAATCATTTGAAAATAAAAATAATAAAATCCCTTAGGGTTCTATAGTAAACCCCTCCTTCCTTTTTGCCCCTCAAAGTACACCTTTATAAACCCCATTGCACAAACAAAACCCCGATTGCACCACTAGTCATGTTAGTCTAACATATTGTGAAATCCTAAGTTAATCTGACCAACGGTTTTGGAGAACGGGTGCGGACAAGTTCAAAAGTTCGAAAGAAGAAGAGGAAGAAGAAGAACTAGATTTGTAATTGCTAGCAATAACGGATGGCACCCTTCCCCCATTGTCAGGGTAACGGCAGCCATTTTGAAAATTCCAAAGTCAAAGAGCACATCTACACATGCTAATTATGATCATTTCTGTAAAGTTTTATTAAGTTTGGAGCATTTAGAAATTTTTTTAATTTTTGCTGTTTCTATGGTAACGGCGGCCATTTTGGAAATTCCAAAGTCAATGGGACATCTACGTATGCCAGTCAATATTTGTGTTAAGTTTCATTTACTTTAGAGCATATTGATTTTACGGACATTTTTGCTGTTTCCATGGTAACGGCGGCCATCTTGAAAATGCCATACCCCGATTGCAAATCTGCACATGCTGGTTAACAATATTGTATAGTTCCATTAACATTGGTTCATAAAATTTCGAGATATAAGCTGGACAAAAAAAGTGGAAGAAAAAAAATAAGAAAAAAAGAAACGTAGAATAACAATACGTCACCCCAACTCCGTTGAGGGTGCCATAATAAAAATAAAATATAATAAGAACTGAGCAAAAACAATAAGTCTTCGCAAACTTCGTTTGGGAGACTTAATAAAAGACTAATATAAATTGATAGTATATAAATAACGGAACTTAAAAAAAAAATGAAAAAATGATAGGTCGATATCCTTGTTTTTTTTAGATTCTCTCTATAGTTTTCTTACATTTAACATTGACACCTTTTTTTCTTTCAAAAACTATGAAAAATAACAAGGATTATATTTCATAAAATTTTCAAAATGTATATGTAATAAAATAATGCAAAGAAAAGTAGGGGTTAGCGGGCAAGTTTTTTTATTGGCAATACATGGATAAACCTAGAGGATTCTGAATATCTGACAAAAAATCAAAAACAAAAGTAGCGAACATCCTTTAACACGAAATGACTTCTGTTAACCAAAAATGAAGTAGTACGTGTTTTATTTGTTATATAAGATAACAAGTATATGAAGATTGACTTCAAATAACTTTTTTTTTCGTGAAGCCTCTTTATGTCTTTCTTTCTTTCATTTTTGTTTATGAATAATCTCTAATTTTTAAATTCTATAAAAAAGTAGCTCTGAGACATGATACATTTAGGTTTTGACGTCATGTTGAAAAAATAATGTAAAGAAAAATCATGAAGCCAAAATATATATTAAGCCATGACACTGTGGCTATCAGTAAAAAAGACAACAAAAACTAACACTGTTTTTAAATGGCCATGGCATACATAGAGTAAACTGAAGTTTCTTTTGTAATCATCAACACACGTCAAATAATAAAATGAAACTAAGTATTTCAATTGTGACATCAACTTATTCAAATTTCAAATCTCTAATAAAATCATATATGAATAATCTTAATTACTGCTTCATAATAGTATAATGATGATTTAAGATGTAACTGTTTGTATGTGTTTGTGTTGTGTTTTTCAACCAACTTTAAGATTGGCTGGGGCTCTTCGTTTTGTTTTCTAAAAGTATTACATGAAGTAAAAAGAATAAACTAACCTTCATTGCAGCAAGATCAACATCACATTGTGACCTATGTCAACCAGGAAGTACTAGCCATAATGTTTATAAATACCCGAATTGGATTTTTTAAGATGGTTCATTGTACACCTAGAGCAGTCAGGCATACACATATCATATTGATGTGTTCAAAAGTTACAGGTTTAAATGTAAAGAAAGTATTTAAAAGTAATCGCAAAATTAAATCTTAACTTTTTAACTGGTGTTTAATAAAACCAACGACCCGTGTATTTGAATTGTTTATTTGTTAAAATTCGGATGCTTTTGGATAAATCACGATACATACTTGAATAAATGACGTTAGTATAGCAGTCGACAAATAAAAGAGATGTTTAATTTCTGACAGAATTATGTAGAGGCATTGTAACATTTTTGTTAAGTATAGAACAGTGTAATCTATATATACCAGCTTAAATTCGTCCATTTATAACCACCCATTTTCCCCCGCAACTTTAAATGCATAACTCCTTATCGCACTCGGAATACGTTTTAAAAGTTTGAGGTACGAATAGACAATTACACGTGATGTAATACTTATTACGTACACTTTGTCTAAGGATATGAAGGTTAAAAATGCGGAAGCCAATACGGAAAAAACGTCTCTAAATTACCGAGATGTCCCATTGGCGTTGACACTTTCATTCGAACTTTTAAAACTTGCAATTGTGTGAATGATAGCTTCCTACTTTGAAAGGACATGCTAAAAAGTTGATCAAGTAAAAAATGATCCTTGTTAAGTTAACTTAGTTCTTTTCCTATTTAAGTAGCTGCTGTGGTAAATCTTTCACTGAGAAGCTGCTTCATTATTTGAAATATTATAAGTCTGTAGTTTGACGCACAGTGTGTATCAATTATATTACTTTTGATAAATTCATTATGTAGGTGATACTTTAGATAAACAAGTTTATTCGAAGTTTCAACTCTTTATGATTTTAAATCAAAATAAACTTTTGTAAACAGTTATCGACGGTCACGAACAGACATCATTTCTGAATTATTCTTTCAAAGACATGTTTAATACTGATTTTGATAAAATAAAATAAAACACCATGCAACACGCGTACTATACACTGTACAAAGAGAAAAATCTTTGTGTATTAATCTTTATTTAGAACGATCAGAGCCATGGAAAACGCTCTTCATTAGCTCGTACATAAAAAAAACTAATGCTCTAAATTATAAGTGTCATTGAAAATAAGAAGGTGTGGTATAATACTATTAATTGCCATTGAGACAAGTTAACAGCTATAAGTCACCGTACGGCCTTCAACAATGAGCAAAACACATACCGTATAATTAACTATAAAAAGCCCCGAAGTGACAAATATGAAACAATTCAAACGAGAAAACTAATGGCCTGATTCATGTAAAAACAATGAACGAAATACAAATTTGATATACAGCAACAAACGACAACCACTGATTTACAGGTTTGGGACAGGCACATACAGAATGTGTCGTGTTTAAAGTTGTTAGAAAGCGCCCAACCTCTCCCTAATCTGGGACAGTAGTGTAACAGTACAACATATGAACAAACTATAAAAATCAGTTGAAAAGGTCTTAACTCATCAAATCGATACAAAGCAGAAAAACAAGTAACAAATCCACAGACCGGACGTGGCAGGCTAGTATACACCCCTACAACAAAAAAGACACTAAGTACAGATCTGAGAGTACTCGCAGTCACTGACAGTTCGTCCAAAGCCAGTATAATAATGAATTGAAAAAATCATGTATATAAGACTAAATTGTCAATCAGCACACATCCAACAATCAATGGATCTAGGGTTAAGAAATCATTAACTGTCAGAGAAAAACATTTGAGCACAAGCGCAAAAACATTTAATTTATATAGTTACATTTTTACGCTACAATCATAAAATAAGGAGTTAAATTGTTTTTCCTCCGCATTGTTTTGGTGTTTTCACGGATTGCACCAGTCATGAGTTTTGAATTTTATACAGAAATAAAATTTAACTTCGGGAATGCCTCGGCCAAGCAGAATTACGGAATCGTTTGCAACTTCTTTGTATTAAAATTATCTAAGAATTGAATGCTTCTTTTTTTTTTGCAATTTTATTTGGGTGTAAAAGCGTTGACTAAATATGAATAAGAAGATGTGGTATGAGTGCCAATGAGACAACTCTCCATCCAAGTCACAATATTTAAAAAGTTAACAACTATAGATCAAAGTACGGCCTTCAACAAGGAGACTTGGCTCACCCGAACAGCAAGCTATAAAGGGCCCCAAAATGACTAGTGTAAAACAATTCAAACAGGAAAACCAACGGTCTAATCTATATGAAAAACGAGAAATGAGAAAACACCTATGAACCACACCAACAAACGACAACCACTGAACAACGGGCTCCTGACTTAGGACAGGTGCATAAAAATGCAGCGGGTTTAAACGTTTTAACAAGCGCCAACCTTCACCCTAACCCGAAACAGTAGTGTAACATTACAACAAAAAAAGACATACTATAAATTATCAATTGAAATGGCTTAACTTGATCAAAAAGACATTTAAACAAAAATAAGTAGGCATACAATGCACGAATAAGTTTGAAGCACATTTTGTATGAAGTGCGGACACTGTTGTGGTTTTTGGTTTAGCCATTATGATTGATAACTTAAGATAAGAAGAACTACATGTATGTCTCCATTATATCATAGAGCTTAAATATCATAAATCACTCAAGCAGACAAAAGTACATTAATTATGAGTAACTGGAATAAATTGTACCATTTGATCTTTTTTAATGATCGATATTCTTTTTAACTGGTGTTTAAAAGATGTTTTATTGATTGATTTAATGGAGTTTAACGCAACTTTCAGCACTACTGTGCTATTCTGTGGCGGTCAGTTTTTATACGCCCTTACTTAAAGACACTTTGGACGTTTTGTAGGCTTAATCGTGCCAACTTATTCATATTTTGTGTCAACGGGTTCCACTGTGTGTGCATGTCTTTTTTTTCTAGGGAGGGGGTCTATTTAAGAAGTTCTTGCAGTATGTCTAGTTGATTTTAGAAATTCATTTAAAACATAAAGTTGAGCTAAAATGGCGACGGGAGTATCATCCGCTCATTGCGCAGCTCTTTGTTATTGATGGAAGAAGCCGGAGTGCCCAGAGAGAACCATCGATCTTTGGTAGGAAAAGATAATAACATACTGTTTAAGCGAACAACTTACTAAAATGTTTAATCCTACCACATTCTCTTTATGTGCCTGTCTCAATTCAGGAGCTTGAATTTAGTGGTTGTCGGTTTTTTTTTTGTTTTTTTTTTTGTTTGCTGTATATCATATTTGTGTTTCGTTGTACATTATAGTGCTGTTAGTTTTCTCGTTTGCATTTTGTTTCATTTGTCCTTTCGGGAACTTTTATATCTTGTTATGCGGCATTGGTTTTGCTCATTGTTAAAGACCGTACGATGACCTATTATAGTTGTCTAGTTCTAAGTTATTTTGACTCTGGTCGAGAGTTGTCTCATTCTCAATTATACCTTATAGTCTTTTTACTCTTATAACCATCAAGTTAAGAGTTCGAATTCAAGTTAAAAAGTTCGAGTTTAGAGTTCGAGATATAGTTCCTGTTTGAGTTGAAGTTTAAGTCTATATAATAAGTTCGAGTTCGAGCTATATTTCGAATCTTGTCCCGAGTAAAACCTCGATTTGAATTGCGAGTTCGATTCGAATTTCGAGTAAAGTGTTTGAATTGAATTTCTTGTTAGAACCTTTTTTCAAGTATACATACAAACGACGTTTAATTGAATTTTGTTTAAAAACATTCGTATTGATTGCAAATCTTCGTATTTTTTTTCACTTTATTTTTTGGAGCGGTTTAGAAATAGTGTATAGATACCTATATTTTGGTGAAGACCGTAATACTATGTTGAGATGTAGATGTTTAGTGTTTCTTGTGGAATTCTTTTATTACAGTCCTGTTGATCCCACATCACTTTTAATTCATACACTTACATTTGAAGATATCAAATCATAAAAAAATGTAGATTTAACCCCACACTTCGTTACATGTATATGCCTTCCACAATTTAAGGATCGTGTCATTGGTTGTCTGTTATTATATCCTGTAATATTCATTTATATTTTTGCAGCGTGTGGTAGATTTCGGGATGGAAATGTCCGTGCTTTCCTCTTTCAATGTTCACTTAATTTGTGTCGCTAATACAACTAAAACAATGACTAATGATATATTAATTGAAAGTCGGAGAAACTTCTTTCATTGCTCAAAAACAAGATCTACACAGAAGTGATATACTCACTAATTTAGTGAAAGGGATTTTTTCTCCCGATGGTCTGAATTTTGAATACTTACTAGCCTCTTAAAGATACAGTCGATTTTAATGTAATGCTCTGATGAGACTTCATGAAACCTATTAGAAGACTTTTTATGTTAACATAAAAATAAGGAGATGAGGTATGATTGCCAATGAAACAACTATCCACCAAAGTTCAAATAAAGTGGATGTAAGCATGTGTTTTCTTGTAAGGCAGTATCCAACCAACAACTGTAGCTACACGTTCCTTATCTAGCTTTCCACAGTGCGAGACTATTGGTCCTACTTTTAAAATTAAGTGCCGCTTTTTATTTACTTTTTTAAATCATTGGTATTCAGTTTGTGGCTGCACAGTGCAGGTTTTTTATTTTATGTTTTAATTTTACGACATATAGTCTAGATAGGAAATGGGAACAGAGGAGTCGATTATTTGTGCTTGATGTTGCCTGTTGTACAGTCCAATATTTTTAGTGAATCTTGTTATCCTTGTAATGTACAATTTTGAACGTTATTTTAAATCAAAATAAAAATGAATATAATTTCCTACATACATTTGTAAAATGTACGCCATCAAATAAACGATGCAAAAACTGTAAAATATAATTATCAGTAGAAATTGCAAACCATACCTAAATAGATAAATGATAAACCAGATTTATGCTAGCAAACAATAAGCTAGCTAATAATAAGATGTATCAAGCAAGCGAACAATAAAAAAATACGCGCCAAACTGATTGTGCCTAAAAACTGAAGACTTGCAATATTATGAAACGTCTTTTGAAATCAGATAACAATTTTTTCCAGGAGGAAGACGAAATGCATTACATTT